CATATGAACAACAGACATGTGGAAAGAATCATCTTTGCAGGAGCAGGAGAACTCCTGGAAGCCATTCAATGATCTGGCACTTATTGGTAAGAAGTACATTCCTTCTCTACCACCATGAAATCATCCTCCAAGTGACTGCACACAGTGGCAGAGGAGCTATATTCAATCCCCAGGGAGCTGCACTAGTGCTCACAAATGCTGGGCTGCAAAGCCCAGCCCTGCAATCCAGCTGAGCCTCCCCAGATCACCACTGTGCTCCACCTGTTTCAGCACAGTCTCGTTTCTGCTGGACTTGCAGAGCTTTATTTGGAGGAAAGGGGGGAAAGAACTTTTGTGGATACTGAAACAAGATTCAAACCAAAAGCATCCAAACCAAAAGGCAACTCATATTGCAAAGTTTGTAACTCACTGCTCCCAAGCCATCCAGTGGCCCTGACTCAGGCTCTTCTGAGTACTTCTGACTGACAACAGATTTTACACATTTCTGAAGCCCCCAGCTCTGGCTTTACAACGCCCAGTGCCAGCCCAGCAGCACCAGGCCCACAGTAGCAGGCACAAAGCCAGCAGATCAGCTATCACCAATTTCACCCCACACCAGATGCCTCCTTACTCTGCCCTGCAGGGTGAGGCCCCATTTTCTGGAACTAAGGCAAAGATGGAATTTGCTTCATCTGCAAGCTATAAATCCTTTCTATCTTCCAGAGCCCAGCATAGATGGGAACAGCTGTGTGGCAGTGTTTCCCTAAGGCTCCAGCTCTGTTGAAGATGCTGAAATACCAACTGAAGTCTAAAAGCTGAAGAGCAAGAGAGAAGTGGCAGGAAAAGGAGGAAGACCAACCACAGAAAGGTTTGGATAGGAAAGACCTTAAAAAACAATACAATACAAAGCCCCTGCCATCAGCTGGGATATCTTTCACTAAATCAGGTTGCTCAAGGCCCTGTCCAACCTGACCCTGAGCACTTTAAATGATAGGGCATCCACTGCTTTTAAATGAAACAAAATTAATACCAACTCCTCAGAAAAAAAATCTTAGCTCCTTTAAGAGTTTTTTGGTGTAGGACAAAACCCACTGTGCACACTGATGGACAGGGTCTGCTGGAAAAGAGGGAGGGCAACACCAAACACATGAGCATGGAGAAAGAAACCAAATATATAAGAAGCAGACTGTTAGGACCCATGGCTGGTTGATGTCTCACCCATCTCAGGACTCATCTTGTCCTAGCATGAAGAGAAGATGCTTTCAAACTTCAGACACATCTACCTCCACGCAAGGACCACCCCTGACCCCAGTTAAACTCTTTAGAGCTACTGGTCAGATGTCTGGACATTTAATTTTGATTTCTAGCCTAATTCCTTAGCAGCTATACTTCCTGCCAATGCACAATTGTTCACCTTGTCGATAAACATCTTTCCCAAGCTTGAACAGTTCTCTCCTCTGTCTGTGGGGCAAAAACAGAGTTCTGCAAGATGATGAGCACCAGCTCTTCCCAGGAACTGTGGTGCTCACACCTCCCAAGATCAGGCAAAATTTATCCTCTGCAAAGTGTCACACTGGGGAGTGGCAGCACTAAATCCTCCAGAAACACAGCCCAGACCACAGCAGGCGTTGGAAGGACCTATACAAACAGGCTGTGCCTGCCTCTTGGGCTGCCTGCATGGCACAGACCTGTGCAGAATGCTAAGCAGGGCTCAGCTCTTATTGATGATGATTACCATTGTGATCATTACTTCTACTACTGCAGCCATACCCAGGGGCCCCCAGGCAGATCCCTGCAAGAACAAGACTCTGTCTCTGCTTTGATGAGTGGATAAATCTGGTCTGAAACAAGCTGCAGCAATTCAGCATGGCAAACAGCACAGAGGGGGGCTGGCTGCACCACGAAAATTGCTACTTCAGTGGTCTGAACACATGCCTTGAGTGCTTCAAATCACAGTAAAATGTTCCTGGTTTATAAACTGCTGGCCGTTGCCATTTCATTTTGTTTCAGTCATGTAACCATTTCTAACTTCTGTTAAAGTTCCATTAAGCAGCTTTTAATCAGCACCTTCTGGTTGAGTTTTGTGCAGGTATCAGGAAATAAAAAATAAAATTGAAGTCAAGGTGAGACTAAGGAAATGCTTTAGCAGGAGATGGGAGGGAGAGAGAGGTATACATAACACCTGCTCCACAGTCTTTCACTCCAGGGTCTTTCCCCTCTGCTTTCAATATGATCAAGAAATAAAACCACAAATGTGATTAGCTTGACAAACCCTCTACATACAAGCAACATACCTACAAAATAATAGTAAGCACCTCAAGGTCAGAGGATGTACATTCCTAAACATTACCAACAATGAGCTGAAGAAATTACCAGGAACATAATTTGTCAGTCTCCCAGAGAGATTCCAGATACTTCAAAGGCTGCAGGGAGCCAATTCCAGCAACACTGCTGGGGCAGCCAAGGCTGTGATGAGCACAGCCACTTCTTGACCAGTAACAGCAGCAGCACAACCCTCCCCCAGAGCTGTTGCTCCTACTCATCTCCAGCAAATGGATGCATGGGAAGCCCATGTGCCTCCAGTTAAGCAGCTTTGGCAGGGTAGGAGGGATGAAAACACACTGGGGCTTGAGGGATGCTGCTGCTCCCCTGCCTACAGACTCACAGCCAACCAGGTGGGACAGACCTGTCCAACAGAGGACAAATTGAGGCAAAATGGCAGTGTCCCTTTAAGCAGGGAACCAGTGGGGTCTGGAGTCATCTCCCAGGTTGAATTATTGCTGCAGAAATCAGGGAGGTGATTGAAAAAACAATTTGGGAGCCTGGAGGAGAGAAGGGAGCCATAGCAAGTGAATGAAGCACATTGGGCTAACTATTTCTCACTGCCCCCCCAGGCCTCGCCTGGCAGATCCCAGAAGCCTCATGTTCTCAGGATTATATATGGATGGTAATGGCTTTGCACGGGCTGCTGACAGCAACCAGCAGTGTGTCACCTTCTGGAAGTGGATTAGCTAAAGCTGCAGGCATGTTGTCACATCACTAAGCCTACCTCTGACCAGGTCCTGGCCAACCCTTAGCTCTTCTAGGCCTGTCAGATAACGATGGGATCTCTAAAAGCCCAGTGTCAGACAAGGAAAGGGACTGGCACTGGCAAAGTCCCCTGGGAGCTCCCCAGTGTCTCCTGGTTCCCAGCAGTCCCAGCAATCCCTGACTGCTTGCAGGATCAGGCACTCTGGGTTACATGAGAAATGTTTGAGTGCCTTGTCTCCCCTTCTCAGCCTGCAGTGTCTCTTCTGCTCTTTGGGAAAACTCCTTCCACAAGTGGCAAGAAACACAGAATTTTTTTTAGAAGGTGATAATGTTCCTGAGTCACATACAATTAGACCTACAATCACTAAAACACTGACAATTAAGACATACTGACCTTTGTCACACAAAAAATCCTGACTGATCAAGAACAGATTTCCTAGGAAAAAAGGACCATATTCCATTATTATTTTGAATTGCACAAGAATTAGAAAAATAAGAATTTCCACTTGACTTGAAGGTGACATTTTCTTTGCATTTCAGAAATGGATTATTTTTTACTTTTTAAATTCCAAATGTCTTTCTCTTCCTATTTTTCACTAAGTTTTGTTAAGGAAAGCAACAGAACAGGTGCATTATGACTTTCCTTTTCCCCCTCCAACACATTTTCTTTTTTCGTTCTGAATTCTCCGAAGTTAGAGCGGCAGACAAAAAATACCCAAAACACTCATCAGGCTTTTCCAACTTTCCTATAAAATGTCCTTAACTTTAGAAAATCACTCAAGTGTAAGATTTAATACGCTGCTTTGTTTTTCTTTCTCTTTTCCATTGCTCTGTAGTGTTCCTGAAAATGTATATGCTTTCAAAAGATGGAGCAGAAAGAGGAAAGAATGTACAGATGATATTTATGTTATTGTACTCAACATAAAAGAGGAAAAAGTAGTGAAGGAACAATGCAGAGCATCCAAAACCAAATACAAAAGCTGGTTTGGCAATTTTCTTGAATACAGCTAAGCTTTTCTTTGGAGGGGAGGAGGGGAAGAACCTCCCGCCACTTCTACCTACAGTAAATCACCAGGAATAGAAATGTCATGCTCTGCCAAAACAACTACCACTCTCTCCTAGAATCCTTGGCCTTCACTTCTTTCTGCTGTAGTTCCATCACAAACTCTCTATTGTCAGCCAGGGGCATCCCAGGTGCTCCAGCTTGCAGGTTTCCAGTTGCCAGTTCCAGAGGTGCTCCCAGCCATACCCTCCTGCTCCTGGAAACTCCCTCCCTGCATGTGTGCACAAGCCAGGAATCCAAATCCCACACTTGCTGCTCAACTGCATCAAGAGAGGAGGACTTTCACAGCAAGAAGTAGAGGAAGGCTGACACAGAGTGACTGGCAGGCATTTGTTTTGCTGGTGTAACAGCTCCAGAGGCCATTGGTCATCTAAACATCTTCCCAATTATTTTATATTCAAGAGTGTTCCATGGTAGAGGGAAAGAACAAAACTAGTACAATTCATCCAGCTGACTGGAGAGAAAACACTTCCAGGCTCACTGGCCAAATTTATGCACTACCACCCCCGATTATACTTATATTCCACAGATGAATCTCTTGTTTGTAAAGCATTCCCTGTGCTAGGGTGAAAGAACCAGTACTGAAAAGGGTTGTTTGAGCCCAAGCTCCTTGAATCATCATGTGCCAGCAGGGACCAAACAAGCAAAACCCCTTGAAAAGTACCAGTCCTGGACACAGGACATCTGCTTTCAATTAAAACCGAGAAAATCTGTCCCCACGTCCTCTCCCAGCCCTGCACTTCTCAGCAGGGTAGCTAGCCAGAGCAAAAGGAGGAGATACCTTCACATCCTTCTTGATTTGAACGACCTGAAAAAGGGAGGCTCTCACAAACTCGCCAACAAAGAGCAAATCAAGAACAGCCTGTGTTAGCAGTCAGTTCCTCTGAACCAGGCAGTTGTGGTTCCTTCCTAGAAAATAAATACTCACCATCACCTCCTGGTTGCTTGTATGGGTTGTACTTTGGTTTGGGGGCGACCACAGGCGCAAACTTCTTTGGGGTCTGCTGGGTGGACACGGAGATGCTGGGAGTCCCAAAGGTGTGTGTGGTCTCCATCCTTGCAGTAACGTGGCCAACAGGCTCGTTGGTACTCTTGGGTGGCAGCCAGGATGGGTGGGACATGGTTCAGTCTGGGGAGACACAAAGAGAGGCACACGTACATTAGGGATTTGGGCTGGGCAATCCTACTGCTGCAATCCTACTGCTTTTCTGGTTTGTGAAATCAATCCTACAAAACCCTTCTAAGCATGTTTAACTTTAAATACGTTATTCCAAATGTATAGGACTTCAGATGCAAATTTATCTTTCTCTCCCCAGCAGGTCAGAATTACTGATCAGGTTATTGTTGGTACCTGCAAAAATCATTGCTGTTTTCCTCTTCAAGAGCAGAGACAGGCTGATACCCTGAAGCAGCCCATCAATCCCACCTTGCATTCAGCACAGTAGTGATGTATTTGCCTTTCCCTGTTAAGCCTTTTTGAGTACATTAATGTACAACAGTGCAGGTGCTCTGGGGACAAGTCTAGTCACAGATAGGCACACACACTTCCAAAATACACTTTTAGCACTTTTTCACATGTCATTTAGGACCCCATGCCCCAGTGATTTTCACTCAGACTTTTAAGAAAACAGATTTCAAAAGTAGCTAATCATTCTTGATGCCTCCATTTCTGAATGCCCAGCTTAAGACATTTTAAAAGCATGTCAATTTTGAATAAATGCCAGAATCTCACAACCCCTGACAACCAGGCTCCTTTTAGACTTGTGTAACAAAAAACAGAGGGAGCCCAAATCATTACTTATTTATGAAAATCTTGGCTTTGGCCTCTTAAAAGCCTACATCACTTTTGAGAACTGGGTTCAGATGCTGCTGAAAATGTTGCTCATAAAAATCCTGTTGTTCCAATGAACAAGTGCTTTTCACCACACACAAACCACACTTACTGGGTAGCCATGCTAGTCCTACTGTATCATCAGATGGTCCTACGGAGCTGGATTTGAGATTTGATGGAGAAATGAAGATCTCACACAGACAAAAGTCAATGGTAATTTTGCAGCTCTTGAGCACCCTGCTCCTTCTGCCCATGCACTGCTTTGGTGTCAGAACCCCTTAAGGCTACCAAAACCAGCAGGCACCTGTGACCCAATCAGGAAAGATTTGATTTCATCATGGAAAAAGATCAGTGCATCAGAGTTAGGATCAAAGTCTCCACATAGTAGTGCAGGGTGAGCACTTCCAGCTAAGAGTAGTGACTGTTAAAACTGATGGATATACAAGTGTGCTTATTCCAACAAGTAAATTTACTTCAAAAAACAGTTTCCTGCTTGAGAGGTAATTTCTACTTTAAGCCCCAATGTCTGACCCAATACTAGGAGGTGAAAATTTTTGGTCATCTTCCACCTGCATCACTCCTTGTGTGAGAGAGGAATTGACAAGTGCCAAACATCAGTCCCAGCACTTCTGTCTCTTCCTGGCCATGCAGTCTGACTGCTTGATGTGCAGACAGTGGTTTCACAATTCCTACCACTAGGAAGTGAACCTGCTGTACTAGGAACCCAATACCAGTGAAATGAAGGCACTGGAGCTGCCTAGAAATAAGGCAGACAGGAGCATGGCAGGAACAGCCCAGAGATGTACCCAAGGCTGAGCTTCAAGGACATGACTTCTCTCTCTCTCAGGCCTGCTGTCCAACCCCACAGTAAGAGTGCAGAGCATCATTCTGAAAGCAAGAAGTGAAAGACAGGTCCTCCCCACAAGGCAGGAGAGGAAACCAGTCACAACAAGTGGGGGCTGAGGGCACACAAACCATGGTCCCACTGCCTGGCACTTCCCATTACCAACAGCAGCCCCTATGGACCTGGAAAATGACTGCCACTCCAGCAGTAAGATTCACCTACACTGCTATCCTCCTCCTCCTCCTCCATCCTTCAAAACTGTAAAAGCAGCAATAAAACTCAGGCAACTATCTAGGTCTTAAGAGCAGAAAGCAATGAGGGCAGTCAGCCTTAAGAGCTAAACAGGACAAGCTGCACTCTGCAGAGTTATTACATCCAAAGATGACTGTACCTTACCCATTGCTAAAAGCATCCTGGAGTTTAATTCTGACAGGTTTTCAGCCTCTGGCTTGACATCTGATATGAAAGAGCCTCCTGCCACAATAAAGCACCCTCAGACCCTGGACATTACCTCCATGCTGATTTAAAGCTAAAAAATAAAAAAAGATCCCGTTACTGACTAGATTATCACCATTCCTGTTCTGGAGTGTTCCTTAACCACCCCCAGGCAGCATGCCTTGGTACCAATGAACTCTCATGGTCTGCTGGGCTGATGACAGGGATGGGTTGTGTGATGCACAAATCAAGAATGTTGCTTCAGTAGCCAGGTTGCACAGCACTGAGCACGGCTGAAGACAGTGAGAGAATTTCAACAAACAAGCTTAGAAAGCAGACAGCTCCTATGGACAGCAAGGAGATCACAGTGCTGGAACTCAGCTGCTGAATGTACACTGGCACACAGCTCTCTCTCAGCAAACCTCTAACGCCTTTGTTTTGGCAATGGTGGTATTTTCTAATTGTTTCCCCATTAGCCTTTTCTCTTCCTCTTTCTCCTCACCTCATTTTCTGTTATGCATTTACTGCCACTCATTTTTGCTATCTGTGCCCTGACAGTGTTTTCAGCAAGTTCCCTTTTCCTCATCTGTTCCAGCCCCAGCTCCCCAGTCTCAATTAAATTTAGCCTAACTGCTCTGTAAGATCATAGAAAAAGAAAATGAATTCATTTCTTTTTAAAAGCTGAAGCTAAATTTCTGGGCTTGCTATTATTTTACCTCCATTTTAGCTGGTAAATGCCAAAAGCAATGAAAAATGTAAGGGACAGTGGGTTGCAGACAAGCACAGCCCCCCCCCACCTTTCAGCAGACTTCTCCATGGTGGAGCACCCTGGCTAATTCAGTGCTCTCTCTCCACTCCCTGCAATACTGCATGGTTTTCTATCAGAAGCCTCTTTGGAGCAGAACATTTGTGATGTGCACAAGTAACTAAAATAGCACAGGAAAACTTGGGCCTAACTAATTCCCTTACTCTAAAATTACTCTTACCCATGTCACTGCCTGAGTGTCATTGTGGTGCCTGCACTTGGAGAGGTAACAGCAGTGCTTTTCTGGCCAGCCAGCAACACAGCCAGCAAACACGTTTCACTTTTGAGCTATCTTCTTCCATTAAAAGTTAATTTTCACTGAAATGTTAACCCTCAGATGAAATCTACAGCTGCCCTTACATTTCTGCTCCAAGCAAGTAATTTGTCAGGCACTGTTTGTATTCAGTGAGCCCCTTCCTGGCAAACCTCAGTAGATCGAGCCACACAACAATTAACACAGCAAGGTTATTTGTCAGCACCTTTCTCCCCTGTCAGTGCCACACCTCTCTCTGCCTTGGCCAAAGCCTTCTGAATGTCTGCCTGCCACCCTCCCACAGCCATCCTTGGTCAGCTGTACCTCACAGCTCCCTTCCTGACCTGACTGCTACAAGCTTCTTCTGTGACTCTTTACTCACTGACCACTCTGGCAACACCCCCTTCCCAAATTCACTGCCTCATCCCCCCCAGAAAATCCCTTAAATCTTCTCTGTGTCACTACTTTGAAAGCCTCTCATTGATCATCTTGACTAACCCTGAACCATCCCCAACTACTGCATAACTTCTGTGGAGCTAAACATTATTTGTTATAAAGCATACATAGCCTCAACTGAAAGAATTAAAGTGTTGAAGAACCCAACACAGCATTAGGTAAATTGTTTGGACAAAAAATTAAGCACCATAATCACAGATTCTCCTTTATGTCTGGCTTAAAATTTAGCTAGATCCACTTTCAACCATTGCATTTTGTTATGCTCCTGTCATCTACATTACAGACTTGCCTCTCTTCCTTATGTAGATCTTTTCAGAATGCAACCAGATCATTCCTTAAATCAAAACAAAACATTTAAATTAAGTATCAATTAAACTCCCTGTAAAAGGCAGGTTTCTCTTGATTTTTTCATGCGTGTTTACTCTGAATTCTCTTCAATTTTCCAGCTACCTTTTGTGAAATGGTGGTTAATGGCGTAAGACCATTTTTAAGAATAGTAACTTCAAATAGAAGAGGTAAAATGATGAATAATATCAAAAACAAAAACCTGACTGAAATCAGCTGTGGACGTCTGAGGTTCTGTTATCCTTCCTTCCTTGGAAGCATTAGTCATCACCTACTTTTGGAGGCAGAGGATAAGACCAGACTAACCATGATAAATAGCATTAAAAGCAAACAGTGAAATCACACTGCATAAATAAGGCAAAAAGTGTGTTCTGGTTCTATCATTAGGCCAATCTTAATGCTGTAAATTCAGAAAATTCTAACCATGAAAGAATATACCACAGCAGAGGAACTGGAATCCACGAATCCCAAGCTGAGACCGCATTATCTAAAAATGTCAGATCAGGAATATCAATAGCAGATAATACCATGCAGTAATAACAGCCTGACAAGGTTTTTTCACTGCTTTTTTCTTTTTTCAAATGTGTGGGCATAAGAGCTTGTTTTTGCTTTTAATTACAGGATGTCATTCACCTTTGAGAAGCGAAGGTAAAAAACTGAGGGTTTCAAGTCAATTTCTCCTTACGTGTGATAAGCAATGGAAGGGTAGAGTACCAATTTGTCTACTTTTGAAATTGTTAAGTACATTCATCTCTGAGACAGGCTGGCTTTTCTGTGATTAGACTGTACCCAAATAAATCTCCATTTCATTTTCCTATTTGTAACATGGACCAAATACTCCTTGGATGTTGATGGACTTCACCAAGACAGAAGATTTTGTCCCTGAGCTAATTAAGCTAATGCTTCATAGTGGGTAGCAACAGTATTCAACAAAAAATGAGCAACAACCGTCTGTGCTTACAGACTGTCTGTTCTGTCTTCCATCCCACGCCTTCCTAAATTCACTAGCTTGATGTAGGTCTGTGATGTTCTGTCTTAATATCACCCATGTACAGTGAACTATTATGCCTAAGGCCAAGAGATTGACCTGATATAGGGAATTATTGTTTGTTGACAGGAGATGCAATTGAAAGTTGTGTTGGGGCTTTTCTCTGATACAC